CTGAAAAAATGTAAAATAAACACAACCACATGTTGTGTATGATTTTTTAATATTTCACAGAAGAAGCCACTAACTACATAATTTCTTGTTTTTTTATGCTCCTCAAGTTGTCCTACCTTTTATTATTGTGCCATGGGTGTAGTAACATTAATTTATTTTCCGGATTTCGTAAACATATTTCAATATTTTTTGGAAAGTGCACCTAGAATGGGAATTTTTCTTCAAAAGTCGAAAAGAAGATTTAACACCCAATTAAGAACACGAAATACCCAATTACAGCCGATTCGGTTCTTAAACCCGCTTAAAACCCAGAAATGCCAAATAATGGAAACTTACGGTTTTCTAACCAATGATAAACCACAATATAAAATTACAGCTAATAGTACGTTTACATTTAAACGGATTTAGTTTCAAATGTCAATTCCTTCGCATATATGTTAAATCATGGCATAATGAATAGGTAGTCCATTTGGTATCTTTGAAATGGACATAATTTTGGTATATATTTAAAAATTTTCATTATTATTGAACCTTTTTTTTTAAGAAATGTACTTAAAAATAAACTTTTTCAATTTTCAATAGATTGTTTATTAAATAACATTCCTAAAATTGTAAATTCCTTCGGCAGAATACTAAACTACGCTAAACTAACAAGGACTTTTATATCTACGTATTTGCATACCAGTATCAACTATGAGGGTAAAGTCAATAGAATGCATTCATTTATTATTCATAGGTGTGATGCGAGTCTCACACCAATCAATTTTATTAATTATTTATTGGCAGAGGATAGAATTTCACAAGTCATAAATTCAATTAAGCAAGTGTGTATGTGAAGCAATGTAATAGATATAGTATTTGCGTAAATGCTTTAAAATTCAGGATATTTTTTTAGATTATGAGAAGGAAAATTCGTATTGCAATATTGGTATAATTCCAAAAATATACAGACCACTTTGACAGTTAATCGAGACATCAGCTGCTCTAAATGGACCACCTATTTACTGTGTCATGGTACAGACTAATGCCACTAACACAAGGGAACACAGCAAAACATATAGTGAAATATCAGCTGTTCCATGATGCAATAATGAGGTGATGTATCAAAACAAAAACCTTTGTTATTGTCTCGACCATCCGTCAATTTTTTCCTTATAATATTTCACATGGTTGGCAACATTGCACATCGAATTCAAGTAGATATTACACACTTTGACAGATAATCGAGACATCAGCTGCGATAAAATGGACTACCTATTTATTATGACATGAGCTGTTCCAGGGACTGATTGCGAAAATCTGTTTTATAAAATAAATATGTTTTTATAAAACAGAAATTGAGACACGAATTTGAAAATTCCTAATACCTCAATTTACATATTTAAAAAAAAAAATCCGAGTTATCCTTTATGTCCCAAAAAAAATAAAATGCAACTCTTATCACCTCTTATAAATTCTAATCTACAATTTAATAGAAATATCACCTCATTAATTCATATTGAATGGTCTCTTTGTAGCTTTTTCCTTGTCTGTTAATTGCTGTTTAATGATTTCGTTGACCTATAAAACTACAGACAAAACAAATAACTTCCTTATTAATACTTAAGAAGGCAATATAAGTAGCGCGCCGTTATGATATAACGCATCAAAGCGCTAGAATTCATAAATTGTAACACTTTTATACACGTGTGCGCCTATATAATTAAACAATCTAATTAATTGTATATCATTGTGGGTAGTTAAAATGTCATTAAGCTTATGATTACTACAAATAAAAACAAAAACACAATTTGGAGGTTATGTTTATTATATCCCTATGACATCGAAAACAAACCAATATCCCGACAAAAGAAAACAAACCACTTGTCCTCTGTATTTTGTTAATTAAACAAATTAATTGACTGAGTTTTGCTGTTAGACAATGCAACACAGTGGCTGAAAAGTTCTGATAAAAAATGTATGGTTTTTTAGGAACTCACCTTCTAAAATCTTGAATTTTGACTGAATATTTGAAATACCCTTTAATTCTATTATTATATCTTGTTATGTTTTGCATTTTCGTTATATGTATTGTTTTGTTTACTGTTAATTGATTTAAAGAGAAAACGTCAAATTTCCACAGTCAACAAACAGCTGACCGAATAAACAGCTGATTGTGTTTACTATTGATTATTACACTAAATTTGTACAGTATTAAATTTCAATGCCGCAACATATATCTTTACAACATTATAAATATATATTTTATGTTCAATTTGTACAGTATTAAATTTCAATTTCGCAACATATATCTTTACAACATTCTAATTATAAATTTTATATTCATTGTAGAAAACGCATTCATTATAGAATTTATTTTATTATAGAGAAGTATTCCTTCTGATTGTGTTTGCTATTTCTTACTTTCCACTAGCAAATTTTTCTTTGCCAAATTTGCAAATCAAAATACAAAAGAAAGAAAATAAAAGTCAAAAGTGTTTGCATTTTAAATATTTTTTTAATATTTTATTTATTTTTTTTTATATATTTTATTATATAAATTGCAAAAATTAAAAATTAAATTTCACTTGCACCAATTAAAGCAACAGGTTTGTAAACAAAAGCCGGCTGTGTGTCAGTGAAGCGAATAGGTTCAAAAGGAAATGTCAACAAAATTGTTTTCAACGAACAGAGCAAAGCAGAATTTGCGTGTACGGCAAATTCTGAACAGGCAAATTTTTTTTTCTTTCCTCCTACAAACTCAGTATTTGCCAAATAAAAATTTGCCTGTGGAAAAGCAGACTTAGTAATATCTTTCAAGTTCTCATTAAAGATCTTTCAAACTTTTTAATGTCCTTATAAAAGACATTTTGTAACCGAGAATTATTCCTTGCACAAAATGCTTTTCTATATATTTCAATGAATATATCTTTAATCATTATTACGTATACATTTTTCTTGTAATACTCGTATTAAATACGACTAGTTTTCTATATTTAACTGATTAAAAAATGATGTAATTTATTTACAATACATGTTGTTGTTGTATTTTTTAATACAAATATAACGGCATGTTATTCTGGCTTAACACGAAAAAATATTTAAACACAAGCCATGTATCGTTGTAATTTCTCTGATTATCATTAAAATAGCAACAACGTAAAAATATTACAACAATGTTTATAATAAGTTGTTGATAAAATATCAACTACATTTTTACATTTGAAACTTGTAAAATCTACTATTTTTTCAATTTCTCCTATACATATTTTGTAATTGGCTAATAATAGATTTTTTTTATAAATACACGTTTAAATTATGCCTTTCTAAATCGACGTACTAAATCCTTGCTTTTTTGGCTAATATCAAAATGATAGTCAGCTGATATTTGTTTACGTATACATACAACCATGGCACAATGAGAAGGTAGTCCATTTAGCGCAGCTGATGTCTTGATTAACTGTCAGAGTGGGTATTTTCTACTTGAATTCGATGTCCAGTGTTGCCAACCATTTGAAATATTATATGGAAAAATTTGACAGATAATCGAGACAAAAACAAAGGTTTTTGTTTTGATACATCACCTTATTATTGCATCATGCATACACCTTTTAAATTTCACGTTGCCAGTGTTTCATAATTCCATGGCACAATGAATAGGTAGTCCATTCAGCGCAGCTGATGTCTCGATTAACTGTCAAAGTGGGTGATTTCTACTTGAAATCGATGTGCAGTGTTGCCAACCATTTGAAATATTATAAGGAAACATTTGACAGATAATCGAGACCAAAACAAAAATCTTTGTTTTGATACATAACCTTATAATTGCATCATGCATAATTCTTAAGGGATCACCTGTCATTTTTTTGTCATATGTAAAATATATATGTAAAAATGTTTTGTGTAATGACACACATAAGGAATTACGATGAAAAAATTTATTGGTTTACCCTGTGTTTACAAGAAACACGACAGCTGAGTTCATGACAATAAATGTTTGTTTGCTTTACACTAAAAATTGCTCAGAAAGATGGGCGATTTTTTTTTAAATTAATGTTGTGCGGAACTCGATCTAAAAACGAAGGAATTAAAAGAGAATTTACATATAACATTTGATCATGATTAGGGATCAAGGTTTATTTTCAGGATTTGTGAATGTTTGTGGTTTTAGCTGATTTTTTTTTTTACTTTTCCAACGACCACAGAATTGCAAAAACATTTCCATTGTTGTAATTTTTATTTTAATTTTTAAATTGTAAACTAAAATTTTTGGCACAAATTAATTTTGTATGTATCAGCTGATCGACTTTTAGATCATGATTAATGGTATGTGTCAATAATTATGGTGTATTTCAGGATTTCGTTAAACGAGTCGATTTAAAATCGTATATGTAAATGTACTCTAATATCATTATCACGATAAAAGCTATAGTATAAACGCGTCTCAAGCAGCTCAAAGGAAAAACTGCTGATTATCGCAGGCGATCTTAGGTCACATTTACACCGAACGTTTTTTATGATAAATCATGATTTATGCGGTTATTTCTATTGTATATGTTAAACTACAGGGTTTTTATACTAATTGACGATCAAATGTCCGGGTTCCAAAAATCGTATTTTTAATAAAAATTAATTTTCAATTGAAATTCCTAATTCTATAATTTTTATATAATACTATAAACATGTTATATTTGATGTTTTGTTTGTTAATTAAAAGCAGATACATTTCCTGAGATAATAATAATTGGAACAACAGAACATGATTATACAAAAAGTTACGTTGACGCCATACTAATAAAACTATTCGTAATCGAAAGTTAAATATTCAAAACAATAGCAAATCTCGTATTGTATAAAAGGTTCGGATAAACTTAATCAAATATTTGTTATTTTAAAATAACTATAAATAAAAAATTAATTTAAGAATTGAAAACAATTTATTATTAACATCATACATTTTTTATTTATTTATTTTACAGTTTTTAGCAAAATTCTGCTGAGTTAAAATTGATAAAAGAAAAATGCCACCAAATTCGGAAAATACCAGCCTTGAAACATCTGCACCTGCCGAAGAAAACAATGATGCTACCACAACAGATGATGATCTGAAGGGCAAATGCATTGTGAAGTATCGTAAAAATTTCTATGACATCACTAGATTCCTGCATAAACATCCGGGTGGTATAAACACCCTACGTGGTTTAGAAAATGCCGATATGACAGCACGCTTTATGCGTGCCCCGCCACATTCAGATGCTGCCATGTATCTAATGAAAGAATATCAAATTAAGACAACACCTGCAAAATGGAGAAATGGTCGCCGCCATACCGCGAATCAAATTAAAGAAAATATTGAAATTGTTGAAGAAGTGGATGGTGATGAGATGGCGGATAAACATAATAATAATGGTCTCGATGATAGTATGGAGGTAAGTTAAATGTTGCAGAGTAGGTTTTTATCTATGGACTTAGTATGAATCATTCGTGTTTTTTTAAATTTATCATTGAAAATGGTTGACTTATCAATGTATTTTTAATTTAGAACACTAGAACTTAGCCATAAAAATGCGACATTGGTAAATAACCATGATATTTATAATTAAAATTTAATTTCTTTATTAAAACGGGGCACAGGTATGAGTGATTAGCTAAGTTTTGAGATAAGATAAACTATGTTATAGTATTGTAAATTTTATAATTGGTGTTTTTTCGTGTTCGAACAATTTTGGTCTATTTCCGTACAGCAAGAATGTAAGAGTTTTTACTATTTTTTTCGATATCATAAAGGAAAAAAGTGTTATCGTAGTAAAAAAATAGTAGATTCTTGCAGTACGGGAACAGACCATTTATTTAGATATAGACCAATGTAGCATTATATATATTAAATCGAACAAGATGATCAGCTGACTGCACGAGAGGTATCAGCTGATCTTTCTATTTTAAATTAGTCATATGAAAATGTAAACAAACATTTTGACATTAGACTGGGAACAGCAAAAATTTTTATGAATTATGTTAATAAAGTGCCATTAATAAGTCCCATAAAACACACGTGTTTTCAACGTTAATCAAATAGTTTCTAAACTTTGAACTTTAATTTCCAAATCTTCCATTCATTAGATTTCCAAGCGATTTCATACCTTTCAGATTACGCTACTACGGCTGTTCACAGTTCCTTTAATTTTGTTATTGTATTTCATTTGGTCTATATGTAGTATATCAATGTTCTATATCAGTCTCTAGACCATAAGTACTCGTCTACCCAATAATCAATCAGTCATAAAATACATTTTTTTTTTTTTTTTGCAAAACTTTTATAATATTTTCTAGTGAGTCATTAACAGCGAACATTCCAAAAGAGTCTATCAGTCATAATACAATGATCAAGCAACATTCATGACGTATATTTGCATAGCATTTTCTTTTTAAGGGGTGTAAACTCTTATCGAGACAGAGTTGTTTTATAATACACTTACTCTTATTTAAACCATAATAAAATAATAATTAATAAATTCGAACAGGTGGATAATGGGTAATATATGATTTTGAACGATTTTTTTGACAACTTATCGTTTTATTAACTAATGAAGAAACCATTTCTTTTACTATCATCATACATCTGGTCTAAGTTGAAGCATGTGACAACCTCTCCAAAGTTAGTTGTCTTGGCTTGTGGAAAATATGTGTTATGTCTAAGTAACATTTGTTGTGTTCCCGTATTTTTTTTAATCGTAAAAGAGAAAAATAATACATCATTTTCTGAAACGGAAGCTGGCAAAAATGTCAAATATTCAAAATCAACACAAGATTACAGGTTCATTTTTTTCTCAAAAGTCCTGTAGTCTCTTCTAATGGCACAATAAATAGGTACTCCATTTATTGCAACTGACTATCCGATTAACTTTCAAAGTTCATAGTTTCTATCATGGCACAATAAGTAGGTAATCCATTTGGCGCAGGTGATGTCTCGATTAACTGTAAAAGTGCGTAATTTTTACTTGAATTCGATGTGCACATGTTTTCGTTTACGCTAAATTCCAGTAAGATAGAGTGAAAATTTTACAGTTGTTTTACTGAGTATTTGCAAATTCTTATTGGGAAAATTTTTCCAGTTACATCAGCTGATATGTTATCAATTGGTTTTATTATTATTTTTTAAAGAAACAAAACAATTTGTTTACAAACAAATTGAATCTTTGTTATTTTTGAATTTTGTACCTTTAAATATTAAAATGTGCAAATAAAACGCAAGTTCTCTTGCCAATCTTTGTGCCAAACTTTTTGAGGTTATAATAAGCTGTTTCGATACAATTTTTTACTAGATGTTGAATTTTCTCTCTTTTTCATTTTTACTCTCAGTGAAAAAAATCAAACAGGTGGATGATGATTTTTAACGTAACATTTTCGATTTTTTTTTGAGAATTTTTCTTTTTGAATTTAAGATGAAACTATTGTTTCCATTTGCACCTACTCCTCCACAAAGTAAATTTTCTTGTCCTGTGTAAACTATGCATTATATCAAAGAATATGAAAATTCAGTTCCAGAACCTGCATGATCTACTAATTTTAGATGTTTTGTAAATTTTTACTCGAAACCCGTTCCTGAACCCACAAAACTAGTAAACCCAATTTAAATTGTTGTGTTGAATTTGAAGCATTGTCATCTAATGTTGAAATCTTTACTTGTTTTCCGTTCCATAACTTTTCGATTTTAATATTTTTTCCCTTTTAAAGGTCGTTTACATATAACCGGATTTGGTTAACCCAGTGGGTTTAAATTTTCAATTTCTTTGAATATATGTCAAATAAATCCTCATAAAGTAGGTTAACCCGGTAAAAAGTTCTAATTAAATGCCGTATTACTACCTTTTCTTTAAAAAAGTTCGGGAACAGAACAAAAATAAGTATGATGCAAATCTATTAAATGCATACGATTATGTTTACATAAAACCTTTATTACTAAAAACTTTCTATATTTGTTAATCCTTGAGGTCTATAAAATTTCAATACACAATTTTATCGGCGAGATTGTGATGTATACAAATAGAAATTAGATAATATGTTTTTCCAGCAGGTTAACCACTATAGTGAATTTTTACAGCTGATATTTCCCCAACAATATCGTATTATTTCAATATTTAAAAATTCTTTATAGGAACTACTTTTGTAAAGTCTTAAAATATTATTTTCTTAAACGCAATATTATTATTTTTTTTAATATACAAGAACATGGACGTAAATTACACAAAGATCCGCCATTTTCAAAGCCAAAAGAAAAAACCTTTTCATATTCTCAAATTCCCCCATTTTTCCCAGGCTTTTTTGGAGGAAAATTTGCAAATGAACCTCATTTCTTGTATTTTTATGAAATAAATTAATTTGTTAAAAATGTGATAGAAAAAAGTGTATTATGGCTAAAACGACATTTACATTAGAATTTTTTATCGGGTTAACCTACTTTATGAGGATATATTTGACATATATGCAAAGGAATTGACGATTGAAACCCACTGGGTTAATGAAATCCGGTTAAATGTAAACGTACTATAAACGAATTAAATTTGTCAAATATGAATTCGAAAGTTGGCAATTTGTCTTCTCATTTCAGTTAGAATAAGAACAACGTGAGATTAGGAAAAGGAGAAATTCTCAGGGAATTTTTTTATTATGCTACATTTTATTGAATATTTTTCGAAAACTATGTTTTTATAATGCAAACAAATTCCACTGGATTTACTTGAATTATAGTACATTCACATTGTAACGGATTATGTTAAACAAGTGGGTTTAAATTCTCAATTCCCTTACATATTTGTCAAATAAATCCTCATAAAGTCCGTTAACCCGGTTTAAAGTTCTAATGTACAATCGAAATCGAATTTCGTAAATCAAAATGAAATGAGTCTACACTAATTCTATTTCTCAATTCTAAATTCGAAAGATGGCAATTCGTACTCTCATATCAGTTAGAATAGGGAAAACGTGAATTGGGGACAGTGAGAAAAATCCCTGTGAATAATATCATTGTTTCGAAAGCTTTTTGTTGGAGTATTTTAGATTTGCATTCCGTTGGCTCATGTTTTTACATAGATATCTTCAATATAAAGATTAAATTCCTAGACCAGTTTTCCAAACTGAGGGTCTTATTTTTCTAAGAACTATCGAAGAGACAAAAATAATATATTTAGCAGAAATATAATTTTGGACTAAAGTTGGAGAATTTTTAAGGATCGCAGTCCTTTGGACGTTGTTGTCGGTTCCAATGAAATACTTTTACATACATTTTCAACTATGTATTTAAATGCAAAGCACCATGTTAAAAATCAAAATACTTCATAATACAAGAATTTAGACTAGTTGGAATAAATCGTTTATTAACAAATTACATATATCCACATATTAAGAGGTAGAGAATAATAAATGTTATTAAAAAATATATATTAGATTATATTATTTTCTGTATATTTGTATATTTTTTTTAGCAAAAATCTATACAAAATATACACATAAATATTTACATTGTCTATATATTAGAAATATATGTATTTATTGTGTTTAAAGATTGCATATCAATTCCATTGGTATTTGAATTTTAACTTAAACGTCTGCCTATCGAACAAAATAAAACAAAAAAATCAAATTAAACTAATTAAATTTTAATAGACATCATGGGAAGGTCCACCACTACTTGTTGGAACATATACTTTGGGTTTGGAAAAAATTCGTATATCTGATTCTAGTTGCAACAGTTCCTTTTCGATTTCAACCTTTCGGCGGCGTATTCGCAATGTTTCCGTTGTCATTGGCATACGATTTAATTCAAGGACAAGGGATTCCATTTCTGTAAAAAGGAAATTTTAAGTTTTTTTTTAATATTTAAAAATAATGTAAGTAAAATTTACTTTTCTCAGCTGCATTTAATGCTGCCAAACGTTCATCTTCACTGATGGCATAATGACCCAGTGGACAATTGGGATCTCTTGACATTTCCCTTTGCCTTTCCTCCTCTTTTTCACGTTTCTCTTTTTCCAAATATCTGGGTAAGCGTATTTCATCACGACCTATTGGAAAAACATATGGGATATTAGTACTTGTATCATTTTAATATAATTTTGCGATTGGCCTACTTCCAAATTTATAATTTCCATTTGATTTTTTCTTACTGGCAGTTGAAAACATTGTTTGACGACTACGAGCACTTGAATGAATTTCTTCATCTCTCGTTTGATGTGTGTTAATTTGTAAGTTATCAAATTGTTCGTGAAATTCGTGGTCATTGTATTTATCTTCCATATGACCATTGGGCATTTGTGAATATTGTGAACGGGGCGAATAGTGGTAGTAAGGATTTTGTTGTTCCTCCTTATCATTGGTATTTTTGTGATAATCATAGGAAATGTGTTCCTGTGTTGGTTGATGATTATTGTCATCAGCAGGATTGATGGTTTGAGAATTTGCATGCACATTGGTTGCAGTTATGGGGCAGGTATCTTCACGAAAACGATAATCCACTTCTGTGGAACTACATCTGTAAAAAAATAGGCATTTATATAAATATATAAAATGGGGGTCTTCAAACTGTCCATACTTTTTCAAAGCCTTATAGAGAAACTCCTCGTCAAGAATATCCTCTGTTTGTATTTCCTTATCACATGATTCAGCTTTTGATACAACAGATACCACACTGGCACTGCGAGGCATAGAATTTCTATTAGCTGTCCTATAATGATCCGCACCTGTATTCCTTTCATGAGGATTCGTTGGAGGCCCACCAACTCTTTGCTGACTATACGAACGTCGAAATGATAACTGTTTTTGTCTCATTACTTCTTCGGGTCTTCCTCTCAACACACTAGTTCTTCCTCCTCCACATTGTGTGACCCCATCACCAGTCCCCTTACTAGCTACTGTCATTCCTGTGGTTGATGAATATTCCGTTCGCCCCGTACTCTCATATCGTTGCTGTGAATCGGAACGCCTATGTAAATATTTCTGTTGTCTCCTCTCAAGCTCCTGTTGTTTTTGTATTAATTTATTTGTTGTATTCTTCTGCAGTTCACGTAAATTTAATTTATTTTCACGTAAAAAATCGCGTCTATGGTTCATTTCTGTGTGAAAAATGGGAATGAAATAAAAATTAAATGAAAATATACACATTACTATTTTTGTATTGCCATTGGCAACCAACCACCAGCTAGCTACTTACTTGGTTCTTGGAAAATTCCCTTCAGGGTTCTCATGGAACCACATGGTGTCTGCATTTCCACACTCTTTAAATAATTGACAAATAATAATGTATTTATTTGTTTAATATTTTTTATAAAAATAAACTTATAAACATTTATAAAAATTATGGGAAACAATTTCAAAAAATACCTTCAAAATGCAAGTTGACAGATTCCACTTGTTTTGTTTGCCAACGGCACAGTGCTGTATTTGCTATGTGTCATTTGTTTACATTCTGTAACTACAGGTGTTCATGGTCAGCAACACAATTGTGACGCCTGGCGCCGAGCGTTTTTAGATGAATGACTTTTAACGTTAAACGTTTACATTAAAAAATATTGAAATTAAATAAAAAAAAATTATAGAATTATTAAAAAATTATGGTGTTTATAACACATTTATTGTAGCGGAATAATTTAGAGCCCCTATAAGCTGTTGATAATTTTGTTAATACTATTTAATCATAATAGAAATTAATAACTATTTAAGATAATTAAAAAAATAATAGGGATACAGTTCTGTGTCGAGAGATAACCTAAAAAGTGGGGACAATATTTTTATAATTTAATTTAAAAAATCCTTAATTTTAATAACCCTACTTTATTCTTCTTATTTTTAACAATTTCAGCATTTGGTGGATTGGTCGAAAGCTATGTTACCACAAATTGCCAAAATTACACCGTATTACAACGAATGGGTGCACAAACCCGTCGATCGGCCATTACGTCTCTTTGGGCCATGGTATTTGGAGATGTGTACCAAAACACCATGGTGGTTGGTGCCGGCATTTTGGATACCCGTCATATCAACCATTATTTATAATCAATTTAATGAGTCCGTTGCAAATCGTGATTTATTAAAGGTAATATTACAAATCAATCTATTGAAATATTACAAAATATTTAACATTTTCACATATTTTTTATCATTTTTCTTAGATAACATTTTTATCGGTCTATTTCCTAATGGGTATCTTATTATGGACATTGCTAGAATACGTGCTACATCGTCATGTATTCCACATGCAAATGAAGGAGAATCCCAACCCCTGGCTGTGTACATTTCACTTTATGATACATGGCCTACATCACAAGGTGCCCTTTGATCCAATGCGTTTGGTATTCCCACCATTGCCGGCTGTTATTCTGTGTCTTACATTTTATATACCATTATCATATATTGCACCCTATCCACGGGTACTATTGGCCGGTAGCCTTTTAGGTTATCTTGGCTATGATATGATCCATTATTATCTACACTATGGTAATCCTAGTCTTAAGCAATTATATTTTATGAAACGCTACCATTATCAACATCATTTTGCCCATCAAGATCAAGGATTTGGGGTATCGAATCCTTTGTGGGATTTTGTTTTTCAGACACGCATATGTTTGCGTAAATTAACATTTCGTTTAAAGTGGAAATAGTTGTATTATTATTTTTTTAATACATATTTATATTTTTATATATCTATATGTATAAGAAGATAAAGTATTTATATATATTTTTTATTAGTTGTATAAGTCTGTTTTTAGTAGTATTAGTATTGTAGTTATAATGGAACAAATAATATAAGACAATTTTTACATGTGTTTTATTATTTATTTTATTTTTTTGTAATAAAAATATATATTGGCTGTTGTAAAATGGTAAATTTGTTTTTTTATAACATTAAAAAGGACTATCATTAGCGTGTTTATACAATTACAAATACAGGACCAATAAACAAATCAATTAACATTAGATGAAATAGATTCTTGCAGTTTCAGGAATAACGCTAAAGAAAGATTTTAAAAATAAATTACCAAATCTGAAAACTCCGTTAAATAAATACTTCTTTATAAATAAACTATTTTTACTTCATTTCTTTCATATTTTGAACAATAAAATTATCGCATATATATTTTTGGCCCTTAAGTCTTCCAGGTGCTCGGTGCATACACAACGTCTTCAAAGAATATTTTCAACATATATTCATTTTTTGACATAGGCCCCATATAAAAGCCGAATTTAACAGACTGAGTGTTTGTTTATAACTTTATTCCTTTCTAGAACGCACAACAAGCCTTTGATTGGCTTAAGTTTATATCCAACTGCTGGATATATTGTAAAGTTAACCACCCCTCATTCCAACCTAAACTTACCTGACCTAAGAAGAGATCTTCTAAATATACACTTAATGTTGCACAGGTTATCAACTACTAATTGTAGCCCTAGTAAAGATATGTTATACCATTTGACATGATTTGCACTTGACGGACGAGTATGACTCTATGTAAACCACTCAACCGATGCTGCCAAGGCAAAAAAGGCCAAGGTTTTTATTACACAATGGGCTAAGGACACGAGTTTCATTTGGCATATGGGTGCTACAACAACATGACAGATATACTATCCGAAACGACCTGAGGCTTACTCGACCAACGACAGTGAACCAGGAGTCCACACACCACTATAGTAGCAGAAAAGTGACAGCTGCCTATACATACGAGAATGGTTTTAGCCCAATTAAAATCAGGATGGAACAGCTTCGTCAATTCGTATTGGTCAAGAACTGACAGTACGATACCAAACTCATGACCAGAATGTGGAATTGGTTCTCACAATACGCTGCATATTTGCAATTGCCCAGCAAAACCCACTCATCTGTCTCCGGAATCTCTTTTGACGCAGCCAATACAGATTGCAACATTTTTGATCATGGAAACAGAGGAGTCTGAGTTGCTATAACAATAAACTCTTTTCTGTCACTAAGGAAAAATGAGATCAAACTCGTTGTGGAAATCATAACAGGACTCTGCAGCATTAGGCCTCTCACATCGATTATTTTAATTTGAAAAAGAGCTGGAAGGCTTTAGTGTTAAGGAATGAATTTTAATAAATAAATAATTGAGCACATATTAACACATTTCTCCGGACTTGATCCCATTAAAATACTTAGCTTTCCAAAAATCTGTCATGGTTATGCTATAACATATTCCTCTATTCCCCTTAATTTTTTCCCTTATCTCGTTTCTAACCTCTCCTGTCAGACAATTAGGATGAGCACAATGAATCAAAAGGGTCTCCTAGTCCAAGCAGCTGCTAAATGATTGGTGGCTGAAAATCCTTTTAACAGAACCTAACCTATAGCGTATCACATAGTCGATCGTTTCGACTTTGTTATTATATGGTAACTGTGAGGGTCGATTTAAAATCCCAAAATTATTGAACTGACCTCGTAATTATTATTACTATTGTTTAATAATTAAAAAGATTATCTAATATATTTTTGTTCAAAAGGTCGACGTATTAAACATTTATAATAGAGGCGTATTACTATTAATCTATTTAGATTACATATTGGTCGAATTTTTTAAACCTCTATATAGACGAGTATGAAGGTTTTATAAAGGATTTTTATAAAGGATTATTATCAAATCGATCAGCTATACCTGTTATATTTTTTCCTCCAAGTGCATTAACCGATGCAATCCTACAAAATGGACGGCCTTTAACCGTTTAACGACTTATAAAATTCGTCTTTGTAAATCGTAGTCAAATCGAGTTCAGCTATACCTGTTATATTTTTTCCTCCAAGTTCATTAACTGTACCGATGCAATCCTACAAAATGGACGGCCTTTAACCTATTTGCGATAAGGTTTTGTCGAAATCATGGGTTTAATGACCACATTATTCCAAAAGAAGGATACATTTAACAAAATAATTATGTAGCCTTCCATAAAAGTTTCGGTTGAGGTAAGGTAGGTTGATTAAAAATTAACGGTATTTTCTGCTTGCATTTCATTTTGAATTTGTTGAATTTTCGATTATGCGCATTACAAACTTTAAGCCATCAAAAAATTAATACAACTTCCAAACATATGATCCAATTTCAAGTTCATGTTATTAAAGATTTTAAACGTACAATGTTGGTCTACCTCAAGAACGCCGCTGCTTCTAGCCGAATTGAAACGTAAATAAAACATTAGCATCAGCTTATCAGCTAGAAATACGTTAAAATAAATGCGGCTTCTTATCTCCTCCAGAGAACATTTTTTTCAAAAAAAGGTCATTAGCGAGTAGGCCCCGGGGACTATTGTTTGCAGTGCTGCTACCGTTTTTACTTAAATATCATGTAATAACTCAAAAACAATTCAGTTGGGCGTATTGAAGCAACGAAATTCCATTCCATAGAAATATGCAGCGGGTAAAAGTTTTATTGATTTCGTTCTGTTTAATGCTGTGCGCATTATGCATCAGTGGCTTTAGTGAAGAATCAATATTTGAAGATGAGGATATTTATCGCATGGCGTTGCCACCTCCAAATGCCACAGGGACCACTGTGCCGGGTACTAAATGGTGTGGTCCCGGTAATACTGCCGCCAATTATAATGATTTGGGTAAGCATCGTGATACGGATACATGCTGTCGTGAACATGATCACTGTGAAATGATTATTGAACCGAGTACATCAATGCATGGTATTTCCAATGGTGGTATGTTTCCAATGTAAGTTAAATTTTTTGGAATAGATTTGGAACAATAGTTTGTAACCTATTTTTATTTCTCCTTTAGCATGAAATGTTCCTGCGAACAGAAATTTATCAATTGCCTGCAAGCTGTCAACAGTATGGTCTCAAATACCTTGGGCCATATATATTTTGGTGCCACTAAGCACTGCGTGGAATACGGGTTTCCCATTGTGAGCTGTAAAAAATATATGGAAGGTACATTCCGTAAACGTTGTATACGCTATAATATTAATAAGAAACGTCCGAAAATTTGGCAATTATATGATATACCTTTCTATACAACGAATAGTGTTAATAAACCGAAATGAGTTAAAAAAAATTCTAAAGAGAAAAAAAGGAAGAATTCAATAAAAAACATTTATTAAAAAGTATTTTAATTTTTAAATAATACATTTTTGCACTAACAACCCGAGGTCTCTATAGGTCTTTATAAAAACCATAAAGGCCAATTGATCTGTATAGAAACCACAGGTCTTTAAAAAGACCAATTGGTCTGTAGGGAAACCATAGGGCTTTATAAAAACCAATAGGGGTATATAGAGATCATAGGTTAGAGTTGATTCCCCGTCTTTAATTAAAAATCATAAATAAAACACCAATTTGTTTTTATTTTCCCCTTCAGGTCACAGTCAATTTATTATATCCTTAAATAATTCCTGTGCTTTTGATTCTTTTTTCTTTAGGCTAGCCTTCCATTGTTCGGCCGATAGACGATATGTGTCAACACGTAGCTTGGTACACACCAATTTACCAAATGGTGAACCCTTTAACATATTCGATTTCTCTGCCAGTTCCTTGACAATTCTCGCCTTTTGTGGCTCCAAGGCTGCAGCAAAACATGACTCAACAACTCGTGAACCAAATTTCGTTATGGCCAAATCCACGTAGTAACCTTCCAAATGTTTAATTAATTTCTCACGTGATTTCTCACCAATAAATTTACTTTGTAGAAATGCATCACAGATATGAGAACCATTGGGTGTGTTGAATACCGACACCACATATTCCGATGATGTTTCCAAAATACAATTAACCAAGAAGATGGGTTTATTAAAGCGTAAAATATCCTGTATGATTAGGGAGCCATGTAGATGGACAAAGGCCGATTTGTCTTCTTGTAGAATTTCGAAGGGTTTCAGTTTGATGAGACATAGGAAAAAGGATTTCATTTTTTCCTTGTCGCCACTGACATGTAAGGCTTGTTGCAGGGCCGAAATAAATTGGCCCTGTTTGGTTTGAAGCCGTAAACAAGCCGAGGCCAGACCAGATATTACACCAGTGTGTCCTATCTTTAACAGTTCTTCAATGTGTTCTTGTAGCTCTTGGAAGACATTTTCAAAATCTTCTTTCTCTTTGATATTTTGCAATAGTTTTTGTACGGCGAAATTTGTTAACTGCTCCTTGGCCAATATGGCCAATTTATTGGTAAATAACATGGCATAGAGTTGTGTTAGAAGTTTGGGACCAGCCACTGTAAGTAGAGTTTCCAGTAGTCTCACCGAACATTGATAATGAAATACATTGGGTAATTTGGGTAAAGGTGCGGTAGATTTTTCTGTTTCACCACCTTCTTCTCCCTCCTCCCCTTTGGTTTTCCGTTTCCATGGGCTCCTGTTTCTGTTGTTCTTCCTCATCATCCAGAATTTCAATTTTCTTATCATCCCCACTATCATCAACTTTCAGTAGTCCTTCCATTAGAATCTTTTTACCAAAATGTTTTAGCATATTTTTATCAATCACCTTCAAGGCCACACACAGGACACTTAACAGGGCAGAAGAATGTTCATCATATGGAAAGTCAGAAAACTGTGGCCACATTTCTAAACGTTGTGCAAACTCCTTGGCTACCTCCTGGAATTCCTCGGAAACTTCATAGACCTTACGTTCCTTGGCCATAACTGCACCTCCCTTTTCAAAGGCCACCTTAGCTACATGCACACCAGATAGGCATAAAATACATGTACGCATAATATGACTGGCACACGAATCCCATACAAAATCTTCCAAATTGTTTAACATAAATTTACCCACTCTCAACACAAAGTTCGAACAATTTTGTTTGTGTTCCTCGGGGAATTCAGTGTCCAAATTGTAACGTTCCTCGCTAATAACATCTTGGGACAATTTAGGTTTTTTATTACTCGATGGACCCTCTTCGCCGTCCTCTTCATCATCTTCGTCTTTAGTCTGCTTCAGTTTATCCTTCTTCACACTTCGCAAAAAGGCAATTTCCACCATTTTCTGTAGAACATGTGAGGCAAAACGATCGGAACATATTGGCCGGAAATTATCAGCAAAAGCATGGAAATAGGTTTCCAACTGTGACGGTTCCACAAAGCCACACAACGATTCCAAGACTTTGCACACAATTTGATTGGAGGCCAAATGGACTTCATTATCTTTGGTCTGTTCGAAAACATTGTTGGCCATTGTGACTAAGGAAATTGAAAAAATCGGAATTAAATCAAAAATAATTAAAAAATTAAATTCAAAATCTTACCCTTCTCCTCAACATCTTCGAAACCGTTTTTCATGGCATCCAAAATATTTATGAAATAATTGTACTGATCATCATCGATGTGGGTTCCTCGTCCATAGATTCCCTGCTTGGCAAACCCCTTGGCATTACGCAGGAACCGAGCATTTTTCTTCTTTTTCTTATTGCGCTTAAAGGGTGGCGGAGCCGGATTATTGGTTACCTCAGTTGTCATCGTGTTTTTTAGAGAATTTCTTTTAAAAAAATTAAATATTGACCGTTTTAATAAAATCGCATCAACCGACAAAAAACGTGGACCGAATTCAAATGAACGATTCTGTGAATGGAAAAGTTCGGAACTATTCCGAAATGTTACGAATTGGGAAGACAAAAGAAAATTACCAAAATATCGTTGTGTTTACGAATGAGTGGGAAGCATAAAAGCAAAAACAATGTTGTGTTTTGGAAAATGAACTACCGAAACTATTTGTAGGTTATAGTTCCTTTTAAAAGAACACTTCCCTGAACTGAAGTTTTCGGGTTTTTTGCAATATCGAGATAATTTCAAATACAACACTGGTTATGTAGATGAATTTTATTTTCATGAGGACTTTCAGGACTCAGATTTTTGAAGTGGTGCATCTGTGCCTTGTTGGTCCTTAGATCTCTTCAAAAATATTTTTCTAGGCTAGAGTTTCGGCGTTTTTATATTACATTTACATTGTACTGGATTTCATTAAACCCAGTGGGTTTAATTTTCAATTACATTACATCTATATCAAATAAATCGTCATAACGTAGGTAAATCCGGTAAAAAGTTCTAGTGTCCATAGCAGAGATTAACTCACCCCAGAAAAAATACATACATTTTCATAATCCTGAAAAAATATTCTCAAAAAATGATTCCATATTTTACTTGATGGTGTCCTAGAATTATGGTGTCCTAGAATTATTAAAATATTGACTAAAAACATGTTGCGAATAACTATTTTATTTCTGACAGAAGAAGCCTCTATCGACAGAGTTGCTTTTTATAATTTGCCTCAATAAATACTACATTTTATTATTGCGCCATGGTTCAGGACACTTTGAGTCTTTGATCCATTGTTCTCATTCTGCGTAGCTGAAAAAGAGGTAGAAGGGAGGAAAAAGAAAAATGGAAGGAAATAGAGGAAGAGATTACAGGTTTTCGCTTAGCCATGAGAGATTTTTGGCAACGCTAACTATTTTTATAAGAGCTATTACGGAGAAGAATTTTAGAGAATAAATGTTATAACTACTAAAGGACCGATGTCTTTTGCTACGTAGCATAGAACACATTCAAAGTATATGCTCAATTGCTATTAATTAATTATGCTCATTATGAAGGGTTAATAAAAAAGATCCACTCCAAGCCTAATAATAAAATCACTCAAGAAGTACAAAACAGCTATAGGCCTTCAATCTACATCGCTGATATACCTACCAAGATCTAGTCCACTATTTTTCTCAAATCTAATGTCAAAAATTTGGACTTTGTTTACGTTTTCATAATGGAAGTCAATTCACAATAATGGATTTTGACAGCAAACTTGAGAAGCAACTGGTATCAGCTGGTCTCCCCAGTCTTTGCTATCAGCTTAGTAAAAGGGAAAATTTTCAAATTCGCTCTCCAGTAAATATGCTAAAATTAGATGACAAAACTTCAAAATCAACATGACAGCCAATCAGAAGTTGGCATTTCTGTTTACCATTTTTACTCGAACAAATTTTTCGAGAAAAAAGTTTACAAAGAGAACGTCACTTAGTTTTGTGTTCTCTAAAATCTAGTTCAATATTTTACAAGTTTTTGGGGTTCAGGAACGGTTTTGAGTAAAAAGTTGCAAAACTTGTAAAATGAGTAGATTCTTTAAGGTTCTTGAACGGAACTGTTATTAATAAACCTTGATCCCTACATTTGAGTTTTATCTCGTTTTTCCCTTGTGTAAGCTATGAGAACTAGCCAGATGGATTATGAAGTTCTGCGCCCTGGCTGCGAAGACGACCGTTTTGAAAAATATAACAAAATATTTTCGAAAATCGGTTTGTTTGAAGATTAATTCTACAACATTTGTAAGAAGAAATGTATGATTTGTGAATGAAACAACATGTAAATCATATCCTCAATTCGGTTTTGAAAAGAAAACCTGACATTCCATTCATTATTCGCGTTTTTGGTAAAATGTTAAAAAATATGTCAGAACGACTTGTTGCACTTGTTTTCATTTATTCTGACATTATTGCCCATAAGATAGAGGTGTATTTTCTCCTTTCTGATTATTATACCTTGTATAATTGTCGATTTGGAGTAATAAGCACTCGGTCATATCCTCAGAGACTTTCTCCAACATTTCTAAAGGTTCGCCCTATAAGCATTGTATTGCTGTTATTTAAAGCTATCACATATAAACGTTGTTGAATAATTCATAAAATTATTTGCTAGAGGCGCCATCTTTTAATAATTTATTACACTATTCACTCGAAAAACTAATATTACATGACCAAACAGGCATGCAATCTCTTCTTTTTATGGGGTGAAAAGTCATTGTGTTTCAAACATTGACTTTCTCGGCCGTTGTTACACGACCATTAATGCAACACTGTGTTGTAGCGTCATTTGTTCATATCAACTGAAATTTCACAGCACTGAACAACAACTGCAAAGCGAAGCAATTATATTTTCCAAGTGTTTTTTATATTTATTAGAAATATTTTTACAAATAAATTAAAATGGATTTTCAATTTAATTTACCATTGGCTACGGGGGATCTTTTGAATTCCAGTGGTGATAATTATTATGTCAAGCAGCTATATAGTCCATCGGAAATTCCTGATAAACTGAAAGGTAAGTGAATGTTATTTGACTAATTTGAAGTTTTAACTAATGCCCGCGAAATGCCGGACCACCTCTCTTTTTGTCTTCCTCCCCTCCAGCTTGCAAGCAGATGTTATATCAAGGTGATCCCTTCTATATCTTCGATCATTTCGATACATTTTATGCGGTGATTGAAAATAAAAATACCGATTCTTCGGCCATGACCAATTTAATGCGTAGCTTTGATTTGCTCTACTTGACCATTGATAAGTTGGGAAATCGTTTGGCACCCTTTTTGGCGTTGAGTGAACCACCCACAAATCAAGAGCGGAATTCACATTTAAATCTAACGAAAATGTGCATGTTTTTGATTGTAAATGTTGTAAGGAAAATCGATAGTAATATTTTACGTCTGCAACAGCAACAACAAACTAATCAACAAAAGAAACGAGGAAAAAATGCCGATACTGTTGAACAGTATCCTGATTGGGAAACAAAGCGGGGGAAGTTTTTGGTACAGTTATACAATGTGTTGCAATTTCCCTTGGAAAAACTATGGAGTCCTCCTATGGCTGAAGAGAATTTTGTCAAGTAAGTGAACAATTGTTTTTTATTTATTTTTTGATTTAAGTCTTATTTAAGGGCTAGTAGCGAATTGTTTTGAACTTTTCACCATAAGTAGTTCAAGAGGCCCTGATTATAACGGTAAATTCTCCCCATGCTTAAAAAAATACTAAGCAAAAATATTCTATTTAAAAGCAGATAGCAGATGATACCTTGACCATAAGATAAAGTTTGAAATCTGCCGCGAAGACCTATTACCTACAGAAACTGTCTCGTAGTTGTATTGACATATTCCCAAAGGGTCCCAGTACATATTGGAAGCACAAGGCCCTCTCATACCCCAGAGTTAGGAAAGTATCATTAGAGAGGATGTGACCTAAGATTAGTTATTTATGGGCGCCTATTTCACCTTGTCGATCTTGGTATAAAAGCATATTTAATTGTGTAGCCGAAAATAGGAGAAAATCTTAAATCTAAGCACGTATTCCGGTCGCCCACAAAAACTATTTTATTTAAAAGGAGATGCTGCCACGTAGCCCTTTGGCATTAGTCGAATGGATCCCAGAAGATTTTTGGAAACTAATTTTTCTTATGGAAATCCATATTTCCTGAGATATGAGTTTTCGATTGAAGGATTCCAAAAATGTTATTTTTATTCAAGAAGATCTATTTTATTTCAACAGATCTCTCCATAATTGAAAGTCTTAAATTCCGGGACGAAGACTTATGTATGTACTATTTAAAATTATATTCTGTCGCTTAGCCTGTTTTCGCAAGAAAGGAGAAAGTTTAAAATTCCTGTGAGAAGGCCAGCAAGAAGTATTCTCTGTAGAAGGAGATCCTGTCCGTAGCCGATTTTTGGCATCTGTCCATAGAAGAAAGAAGAGAATGTTTCAAATCCCTGTCAGAAGACCTGCCAAAAGTTTTGGATTTAGGAGATTCTGTCCATAGCCAATTTTGAAATCTGTCCATAAAAGAAAGTCAGTTAAGGGGCCCATATCTACGGAAGTAAGGTCTTAACCAACAAAATAATTACAAATTGTTCCCAATATTGCCTTATTTTTCAATTTTATAATTTTTAATAGCATGGGGTAATACCAGGGTCTCAGCGCAACATTGGGAGGTCCTTATCTCCTAGGAGAAAGTTCCAAATCCTATCAGAAAGGCGACTACCAACAAAACGGATTCTATTTAGATCAACATCCTGTTCGTAGCCGATTGTGGCATCTTTCCATAAAGAAAAAGTCGCATAAGGGTACCATATCTAAGGAACTATTGACTTATCTTACAAAACAATTACATTTTTGCAATCAGGACATCATTCGCTTCAAATTATTGCCCATATTTCCATAGTGAATTTAAAAGGCATGGCAAAATTTTCTGGTAACTCAAAGAAACTTCGGACCCTATATCACAGAATTATTATATTGTTGTAATCAGAAATCCTAAAACTATTTATGGTACAAGTTTCAAAACGATCCATTTCCGACCCTAATATAGCAACACATTCCTTTATTTACTCTTCTCCTTTCCTTTATTTTCATTTGTGTTCTTATTCGTTTTTCTTTTCTTTTTTATCCTTTAGTTTAATATGTGACATTTGTTATCGTACATTGGAAATGTTACATGTTCGTCCCGACAATCGTCACATTGTTGAGACGATATTTCAAATTTTCGGCACCGCCATTAAACGTTATCAACATGCTATGAATTTTCCAGTACGTATTCTCCAAATTCTAAGGACCGTTGAACATGCTGCTGTTTCCATTGCCACTGGCATAAATATTCTGCATGAGGAATACAACATCACCAGTGTTTTCTCCGTCTTGATTAAAGAAATTGTCGAATGTTTGACCCTAGATTCGGCGGACTCAAATGTTTCCAGAAACTTTTCAAATTTTCTAATGCATTCAGCCTCAGTGGCTCCAAAGCTAATGATACCACATCTGTCCACCTTGTGTGATGAATTACTCAACTGTGAATCGTATTTATTGCGTAATTGTATTCTACAAATAATGGGTGATGCCATTGTGGGTGAATTAACATCCGAAGAACTCTCGGATGAATTAAAAGAGGCTCGCAATGAATTTTTGGAAAATCTTCTAATGCACATCAATGATGTATCGGCTCATGTACGCTCGAAAGTTTTACAAATTTGGCATCACATGAAAGAAGAACAGGCGGTGCCTTTGTCTTTTCAATTAAAAGTCCTCTCTGAAGCTGTGGAACGTCTTGAAGATCGTACCTCATCGGTGCGAAAACATGCCGTACAACTCATAAAAGCATTTTTGGAACGTAATCCCTTCTCTGCCAAACTCACATTGGAAGAGCTGCAAAAGAAACACGATGAAGAGGTAGAAAAAATGGAAAAACTCACTGAAACCCTTGCCGAGGAACGTAAAAAAGCCGAAGAAATTGAAGAAAAATGGACATTAGTAATACCGGAGATTTTGCCATTTGTTGAAGAAAGTCTCAAGGAGAATAATGAGCCTACGGAGACCCAGGAGAATTATGAAGATCTTGTACAACGTATCTCCACCATGTTGTTGGAGAAAAACTATAAAGAAGCTGTGGTTTTGGTGCGTAAAGCTGATCATGTAGCGGGGAATTCGGAATTGCGTTTGTCTTTGCGTCATGAGGAACAGTGTGCCTACTATATGGCCCTGTTGAAGTCGTATATTTTCTTGGCAAATGGTTGCAAGGATAGTGTGAGTATACAAATTTGATATTTTTATTTATTTAAATATTTTTTTTTTTAGAAATTTCTGTATATTGAGCAACTTTAGATTCAAAGTAGCATTCAAGAAAATTACCACAAATTATTCGCATCTGTTATAGGAATTAAAAACTAGTTCTACACAGCAAAGTCCTGCCAATATATTATTTTTTATTTGGAATACAGGATTCTCATATAATAGATTTAAAATATTTTTTCCATTTAAAATAATCTTTATAGGAAATCTTTCATTGAAAATATTTACACCCGTAAGTGATAGTTTACATCTAGGAGACTAATATGAAAACCAGGACAATGACTATAACAATTTTTCTCTACGTTGAAAACCTTTCAAAGATCGTTGGAGGTATTTTAGTTATACAAATCTTCAAAAAATGAATATCTCCTTCTGTTGGAAACAAATTAAGGACTTTCTGAAAATCTTTATTTTATTGGAAGCCACTCAGTGATTTTAAAATTTCCATTTAACGGTTTCTGGATATAGTAGTATGTTTATATACAAGAGACCCATTAAAGGTATTTATAATATTTTACACGAGAAGGATTTATTTTCTACTCTGAAGCTCAAATGTCCCTATTTTTTGCAGAAAATTCTGTTATAATAGAAATCCAAATTAAGGAGATGAAGTATTTGAAGGGGTCTTTGTAGTCGAGCTGAAGGGTGTCTTTACAGATGAGTTAAAGGGAATCTTTGTAGATGACCAGAAGGGAGTCTTTATAGACAATCAGAAGAGTGTCTTTTATAGACAAGGTCTTTATAGACAATCTGAAGGAAATTTTTATAAACGAGCTAAAGGAGTCTTAATTGACGAGCTGAAGAGTGTCTTAATTGACGAGCTGAAGGGAGTCTTTATTGACGCGCTGAAGGGAGTCCTTATAGACGAGATGAAGGGAATCTTTATTGACGAGCTGAAGGGAGTCTTTATAGACGAGCTGAAGGGAGTCTTTCATGGAGTCTTAGTAGACGAGCATAGCTGAATGCTGTCGGACGCTTCCACAGGGAATTGGGGAGCCCAATATATTTAAAGAGTAACTGCGTATAAAGTAAGCCGTCGTGTACAGTTAAAGGGTTTAAATTCTATTTAACTAACGAGGCGAAGTTTTGGCGCCCATACACCATGGGTTCCTAGTCTCCAACCGTGAAGAATGAATTCCTAACGCAGGGATGTTATACGTCTTCGTGCCTTATGTACGGTTTGCAGTCAGTGTGCCGACGGTATTCGGACGGAGTCTCGTTGATTATATCATTGAGTATTGAAAATTTAGTTAGCAAGTTCTTGCCGTGGTCGATTTCATGCTCTTGACTCCTACCTAAGATGGTATGGCTGCCTTTGTCACCCTTAGCTAAAAATCCATGTAGCCATTCGGACTTCTCGATCGTAAATAAAGTGTTAATTCACCAATATTGCAAAGGACATTTATTGCAGGAGGACAGACTAACTGAATCAACACTCAACTCGTTAGGGGTTTAAGGAAGTTTTCGCATAAGTCAAGAGATCATCCTTCCCGATCTATGGAACGATACCCTGATGACGGACGAGGAGAAAAAGCGGATGTTACTGTCATTAACACTTTATCCTCTAGACAAGAGGGACCGTTGAGTATGTCAGTTGATGATATGCGCTCTTCCAAAATGGAAACCGCTAGAAAAGCGTCGACTTTAGCCGACAAGTCGATACTTTTTAGGCAGACGGTAACTGAGGTGTAGTCTCGAGTGAATGTTTCAAAGGCACTTCAAAATCCTCTCTGTCGGTAGCTCCACCAGTACCCAAACGTGCAACGTCCAAAGAAGCATTGGATACAGAGGCGTATCATAGGGAAATTACTTTTTGGTCGAGAGGAAGTATGAGAGATACTAATCTCACAAGACCACTAGAGAATTTTTGATCGATCGACTATCTACCTCGAGATACCTTTGCCGAGACCTCTATCTCTAGGCTATGGTAAAGGATATTCACTGTACATTATTAGAGCATAAAAAAAGCTCGGAATTGAAGTCAGGAGTTATGACTTTCAAAATCCCCAGTTAACGGTTCCGCCTCCTGTTGAAGGTTGAACTGATTTTTTTCTGACATTCTACATTCTGGAGTATGAAACACATAGTTGATGGTCCTTAGATCTGAAGGTGGTATTCAAAGTTCTTCATGGGTAAATAAGTTCTTGGAGGTTGAAAAACATATTTGATGGTTCTTTCATCCGAAGGTGGTATTCAAAGTTCTTGGTGGATAAACAAATTTCCCACACAAATTTCAATATAAATCCACATTCATATTCTGTCTCTATATATAGGTACCGCTCCAGTATTTTTTAATTTTCAGACGTACGAAGGGCCTATAATTTGATCTTCCAAATTCTCGGAGGGTGAACAAAACTTCAAACAAGATTCTTAATATAGGTTTAGGGTTTGACATAGCCCACATAAACAGGTCACAACCCATTTTAGGTATTTCGATTATCCTATAAGAATTTTCCAACCGAAATGACAGATTCAGTTTACAATAGAAGTTCTTGTTTTAATATAGCCCCAATATAAGGGTATTGATCGACTTTTGGTATTTTAAATACCCAAGATATTCCACTCCAGGAATTATAATTGGAAATATTTACAATTTATTTTAAAATCCGCTTCCATTAACTCTTAATTTATTATCTTTTCCCTGTTTCAGAACGAAGAGCTGGGTACCCAAATTAAAACCGTGCAATTTTTACAAGATTCCATTGAATTTTCGCGGGCGGTATCACGAGCAATGCCAAAGCTATTGGAAATGTTGCTGTCGAAAACAAATACTGATGTCTATGAAGCTGTCGATCTTTTTACCACTGGCTATATGTTTGGTATTAAGGGTACCGAAGTGGGTATGCGTCAAATGTTATATTTGGTGTGGTCATCGGATAAAGAGAAGCGAGATGCTGTCTCAGATGCATATAAAAAGGTGCTGTTTACCACCGATCAAACTGGAAGGTAAGTAGCCTTGAATTTAAACATATTTTTGTAATTGAAAAGAAATCGATTTTATTTTAGAAGTTGCATTTATATGAATGAAAGTCCAGATCATTTTTAAAATTGGAATTAATTTATTTCTTTTGTTCTCTTTACAGAGCCCATGCCTTACGTGTGGTACAAAATCTGTCCACTTTTCTGGAAGGAATTGAATATGGCCATTACACAGCCCTGGAGTGTTTGGTACGTGAATGGGTCAACAATGAGGATATCGATGCCAATGTTATACAAGTTCTATTTGAACGTTTCACATTGAAACTGGAAGGCACAACGGATAATGAATCTCGTCTGGCCCTACAGCTGCTCATAATGTGTTCGTATGCCAAATCCTCAATTGCGTCGGCAAATATTAATATTATTGAAGGCATTGGTTTGGGTCAAAGAGGTAAACAAGATCCACGTATCTATGCTAGCTGTTTGGAATTCTGGTTAAATTCCATTGATCAATCGTTAACCTCCAAATATTACAAAAGATATGAACCCGAATCACCGGTCGTGCAAAAAATTATCGATATGTTTATGAAATTCTTTTTCCATCCACGTATACCGGATTTTGATAAGTTGACCATGAACACGTTGCAATTCTTTTATCAAATGTGTCAAACGCCCGATGTTATATGTCAAAATATTGTCAAGGAATTGTTGAAGAAATTTAAAGCATTCGCTATGAAGTTGTGTGAAATCACTGCTTCGCAGCAGGCACAAGCTCAGGAGACACCCTTTTCACAACAAATTCCCGGGACACAATGTACCCAGTTGACACAGAATGCACAGTTGGCTGGTGGTACTGCTTTGGTTCAGATGAAAATGCCGGTCTTTTTGTTGACACGCTTCATCTTTATGATTGGTTATATGACCTTGAAGGAAATGATCTTTTTGGATATTGATGTCTATAATAATATGAAATTTAGGCAGGAGTTGAAGGAATGTGAGGAGAAGAAAAAGAAAACGGTTGTCAATACAAATCGTCGAAAGACGGCAAATCTGAATATGTCCGCAACGGAATCGTTGAAGAGATTGTCGGTGGCTGCAGCGGAACCGCAACAAGAGGTAATATGGTTATATACTTTTTTATATGAAAATGTTTTAAAATATTATTTTTATTTCCTTTCCAGCCCGATGAAGATCTCGTGGGTGCCACAGCCGAGGACAACATTGCCGAACTTATCAATCACATTTGCGAAGAAGTCTTATTGTATGGGCAAAATTCTTTGCTGGTCAAAATTTTCCCATATGTCATGGAGATTTGTAAATACCCCGTGAAATATCGTGATGCATCATTACAACAGGCTGCCACTTTGGCTTTGATACGTTTCATGAGTGTATCGTCGCGTTTCTGCGAAGCCAATATGCCATTCCTTATGAACATTTTGAGCCATTCAAAGAACATTAAAATTAAATGTAACATTGTCATTGGCCTTTCCGATCTGACATTTCGTTTCCCCAACATTATTGAACCCTGGACGGGGCATTTCTATTCCACCCTACATGAAGATAACACCGAGTTACGGCTGACAGCCGTGAAAATGTTATCCCACTTAATTCTGCACGAAATGATTCGTGTTAAGGGGCAAATTGCCGATTTGGCCATGTGTATTGTTGATCCGAATGATGAAATTAAAAATATCACACAGCAGTTCTTTAAAGAAATTGCCAATAAATCGAATATCCTTTATAATGTCCTACCAGATATCATATCCAAATTAAGTGATACCTCACAGAATCTCGAGGAGGAGAAATATCGCATCATTATGCGTTACATTCTCAATCTCATACAAAAAGATCGCCAAGTGGAGACATTAGTGGAAAAACTTTGCCTCCGTTTCCCCGTGACACGTGAAGAACGGCAATGGCGTGACATTGCCTACTGCCTTAGTCTGCTATCGTATAATGAGAAAACAATAAAGAAACTCATTGACAACATGCAATACTACAAGGATAAGGTACAAATCGATGAGGTCCATCAATCGTTTAAGTTGATCATATCGAATACCTCCAAGCTGGCCAAGCCAGAATTGAAGGCGATTGTCACGGAATTGGAAACACGCATCAATGAATGTCTGCGCGTCAAAGAGCCCGGCGAAGAAGGAGCAGAGAGCCAAGAAAACGATAAAGAAAATGCTCCAGCAGATGGTGGTGCGGCGAATAAAACCAAAACATCATCGAAAAATAAATCAAAGGCAGCCGCCGCATCCCAAAAATCACGTCGTAATCGACAAAGAAAATCATCAACATCCGAGGAGTCGTCTTCATCCGAAGATGAAGCACCCAAACGAACACAAGGCCGCGCAGCAGCAGCTGCTGCTGGTCGCCGTAAACAACAACAGCAAACACAAAGTGATTCCAGTGATTCAGATTCTCCACGAGCACCACCTGCCAGCACTTCCAAGAAAGCTGGCAATGCTTCACTTTCGTCAACGTCAACTCGTACAAGTCGCGCATCAGCGTCTGCTTCGCGTAGCAAAGTTATTCAAGAAACTGGCAGTTCAGAAGATGATGTACCCCAACGTAAACGTGGTCGCAGAAATAGATAAATTTACCAACAGATTTGTTTTATTTTTTGGATGTTGTATTTAATTGTTTGTTTGAAAACATTATCACATATTTTTTATACAAACATTTATACATATATACAAGTATTTTTTTTATACATTTAAATAAATTATTTAACTTTCGGAGAAAAAAAATATAATTTATTTTTTAGTTTTTCTGCAAGATGTAATTAGTTAGTTTGGGTTTAATGGGAGTTCCGGGTATTTTCATGAATGACAATGAGGACTTGAAGTCTACATAAATGTGTTGCGGAGGTTAGGATGACAGCAGATACTATCCAGTCATCTTCTGGTTGACCGAAAGCATTAATTTGTTTATGTTGTTGTAGCAACAGAATATATGTGTTGTGTCATTCATTGACTGCTTCTGCTTCCTCTACCTCCAAATTCAAAAAAGTTGCAACTTGAACGGGTTGCGTCCATAGTGAATTCGGCGATAGATGAGTCGACTTAGCTGGGCAGTTGAAGAGGTGCAACGTGTCTTGTGGTCGTAGTCCACATACAGGACATGTGTTAGGTATCCAGCCGTTAATTCTTGCCCAATATGAATTGAGGCGGTTGCACCATTCTGATCTTAGTTGAGTTAAGACTACTCGTGTTTGTCTTTGCAGCTGTTTTTCCTATGCTGCGATGGATGAAGGGTGGTCTCCGATTATGGTATTCACGCGATATTGTTCTACTTCCATAAGACTATGGCAGGGGTGTTCCCGACGATAGCACCCAAGCAAGTACTGCATCGACAACATGTAAACGTGTCGATGGACGGGTCAGATCTTCGTCGCCTCATGAAGATGGTCGACAGAAGTCATGAGGATACAACCTGTTGCAGTTCTCAGCGCAGCATTCTGGCAGGTCTGGATATTCTTCCACAGCGTATCACTAACATTCGCAAACCACACTGGCGTCGCATAGCTTACCACTGACCGGCCTATTGCTTTATAAGAGGTCAACAATGTTTCTTTGTCAGCGCCCCAAGTGCTGCCGGCTAGCGACTTGAGGACCTTTTTCCTACTTCTCAGCTTGAAAAGGTTGTCGAAAGTTACTCCCAGTATCTTGAGGTAGTTCGTGGCCGGAATCAGCTCTCCATCGACCATTATGTTCAGTGGGAGCTTCATTTCAGCCGTCCATCTGGTAAACAGTGTGGCTGTTGATTTGGTGGCGGATATTTGCATATTCCTCAGATGGAAGAAATTAAAAAGATCGGCTATGTATACGTTTAGCCTCTCACATATATCATCAATAATGGGACCCGACGCCATGATCGTACAATCATCCGCATGCATTACAATCTCTATGCAGTCCGCTGGTTGTGGAATATAAGAAAGGTAGAAGTTGAAAAGTTCCAGAGATATCACCCCTCCTTGGGGAACTCATTCTACGGGGTTTAGACTTCCTGTTTCTGAATTCCACATACGACTGGCGTATACACATATAGTTGATTATCCAACGTTTCAAACACGGTCGGAGATTTGTCCTCTCTATATCTTCGAACAGCTTGGCATGGTTGACGGTATCGAAGGCGTTCGATAGGTCAAGTGCCGCACCATAACTGTTCGGTTGCACGGCCTGTTCTGGTTGAGTCCTCTGCTAATATGTGTGGAAATGGCGTGTAATGCTGTGCATCTTACGGAATCCATGTTGGTGTTGGGCAACTGGAAAACTGCTTCTCAACGATGGGAGGAGTAGCGCCGCAAGTGTATTTGCTACCGGCAACAGGAGTGAAATCGGCCTGTACGATTCACCCCTGCTGGCATCCTTGCCAGGCTTCAGTAGCGGGGCCACCCTGTCTATTTCCCAGGTGGTTAACGACAAGTTGAGGGCTGATTTAAGTACTCAACTCCGAGTTCATCCGGCTGCTTAAGCATTACCTTGGATATTCCGTCCGGGTCCAACGCTTTGGATGACTTAGAGTTATTGACGACATCTGCAAGGTCCTCCTTCGTAAATTGTGGTGGTTTCTCCTCGACGTAGCACAGACCTTTTCGTCCTGTCACTCTACGAGTGCTCTATGAATTGTCGGTTAAAATAACTCGCGCACCTCTTCGTGTCTGTCACAGTTGCGTCGTTAAATGTAACAGCCGTCCTGTCATCCTTCCTTCCAGGACTTAACCGTTGCTCTCAATTTACTTGTTCCCGTGACAATGTTGCATTGCTTCAGGTGGTTTAGCGACTTTTTCCTTTTGTGCTCGCATACTAGTCTGTTGACTTCAAAGGTAAGTTCTAGCACCCTTGGGTCTTCAGGGATATTACGACGAGCTCATCACGCTTATTATCCAATACCGTTGCTTCTGCTGGGAAGTTATGTCTTATTCGACAAACAGGTATAAATCGAGCGGCAGCAATATCGATGATTTTCTGGAAATTCCTCTCAGCTACCCGTGGATCTGAGGGAATGGGCAGCTCTCTGAAGCGGTGATTTGTAAACTCTCTGAAGCCAGGCCAATCAGCTTTCCCATGGTTCAGGAAAGTACGGCTTTCAGAGGTTATGAAGTCTGGTGGTCTGTTGACGGAGACGGTGATCGGAAGTTGGTCCGGGTTGCCAGAGTATATCATTTATCAGCTGTGGCAATCTCCTCTTATCTTCGTGGGGGCATCCTTATTAACCGTGCAAAATGTTGAGCTATAAATTTGCTCAGCCAGCGCTGTACCCCTCTGGTCATTACCTAGGGCGGAATGCCACAACTCATGGTGGGCATTGAAATCCCCTAGTACCAGGCAGTTATTACCTTCTAAATGCGGACTGATATCCGCGGCTTACAGCTATTCATCGTCGGTTTATAAACATTGAGCACCTCTACCTCGGCAGTTCCACACTTGACTGCTACCCCTATAAATTCCATGTATGGGTCACTAGAGTCTAGCTCAAGTGAGATAGGTCTGTACTGGACAGAATGGTGTAATAAGAATGCAAGTCCCCACCTCCGCTTCTGACACGGCCCTTCCGCACAACATTGTAACCATCGTAACGCTTGAAGCTACAGTTCTCGTTTAGCTTGGTTTCCTTGATCGCATCGACCATTATTCTTCTTCGACTCTACAATTTCGCTGATTTTGTTTGCGAAGACCATCGCAGTTGAACTGCAAGAACGATGCATTTTCTAGGTGCGGAATAGCAATATGTAGTGTTAAATGCTGCGCGTTTTAATGTTGAGGAGACTGCGATTCAGATGACGAATCGGACGACGACTCCTGAAACACACAAGGACACATGCTAGCGCAGCATGAAGCGACATGAAGCAGTACTCCTGGATCCTGTTCAGTCCAGAGCAGAGTAGAACAGAACTAAATTGAGAGTAACTATATGAGAGCGTAACTGAGAGATAATCATCAAAAATGACTGACGAAAAGAGGGAGAAAAGTGACAATCTCGAAAATGTACCCATTCCCCACATCCAGCTTTCAATTCCGGCACGGACCAGTAGGGCTCGGAGCAGGCATTCCGGGATATAATGCCGCTCCCATGGCAAAAGGATGCCCCCATGAACATGTATTTGTTGAGGTGGCAGCATCTGGTCGGAGTCCATCTTCGAGTCAATAAAGTACATAGAATCAGCCGCCGTGGGTTTGACTTTGTTTATATAGCATTTGTTACTGCCAAATTTTTGACAATCTTGTTCTGAATTACAAACTTCTCATATTCGAAGTTCATCACAATACCAAAAATGGTTTATTTCGCCATCGGCAATGGTTGTTCGTTAGGTTTGGAAAAATTATTTTATTTTTCTTTAACAAACCGACAGCATTTCAATGCCATTTTACCCTCCTAGCTGCCGGTATTAAAAAAATTAAGCGTATAAAGTAGGCTGTGAAGTTTGTGGCGACAGATGCAACTTTTACTAGCAACTTAATGAATCTTGTCGAAATCTTTTTACGCGTCTCAGTCATTCCGCCAGTGCTTCCCGCCAAATACGTTAATCGATTTAGGGTGTTTCATGAATTTGGTAATTATTTCATAGTTCTTCAAAAGGAACACAATCCTTTTGGTTAACTTGGCGACTGCGTTATGTCAAAATATTTTGAAATCGGATACAAAGGTCACGTGTCATTCATTAAATTACCAGAAAATACCTACTGTGATGAATTATTTCAATACCAAAACATTGATATTATTTCACTTGTAATTTAAATCCATATGCAGTTTCCCATGACCAGTATTTGTTCTATGGTAGGCAGATTAACACTTTAAATACTGATATCAGCGTGAAGTTAACAAAATAAAATCAATGCATCAGCATCCCAGTGAAGTTGATGATGATGTTTCGGGGCATAAAAGTATCACTAACATCCACCACCACCCAAACACACCGAATCATTGGTCGGTTGCTAAGGACCACCCCCCTCTTGTTGGTTGTGAATTTTTGGGAAAATGATGTGGTTGGTGTAATTTCTACGGTGTTCGTAATGCCTGGCGTTACCATCATCACAGCCATGCGTACTATTATCCTGTTTCACAGCAGTATGTGATGATGTGCATAATTCAGCAGCATACGTTTGTGGTAATTGGATATTTTTCAATTCACCAGGTTGGAAAAGCATAGAATCGAATTTGTGAATTACGTTTTCTGCCACAAAATAGATATGGAGATTTAAATTTTTAAGGACTACAAACGGTCCTATATAAGTCTTGGCTTTTTAAAAAATATTTTTTCATGCCCTTTATAAGGCGTGGATTTTTTTAAAAATATTTTATTTAAGGCCTATAGGTGTGTTTTTTTATAAATACTTTTTTATGCCCGTTTACTGAATTAACAACAGGCTATGGGCCCAGACGTAGAATCTGGAGCAATTTTGAGAAAGAAAATAAAATTTGGACATTGTGAAATCAAAAGGATCTTAATATGTCGGGCAATATAATAAAGATTGAACCATTGAATTCAGGGAATTATGTCTCGTGGAAGCTGCAGATGCGAGCAATTTTGATCAAGAATGATTTGTGGTCTTATGTGGATGGTACCACAAGATGTCCAGAAGGTGAAGCTGTATCAAAATGGAGGATAAATGGCCAGAAGGCATGTGCAGACTTATTATTATCGATTACGCCTTCAGAATTGGGTTTAATATCCGAATGCAGAACATCAAGAGAAATATGGCAAACATATTCAATCAAAGGGCTCTGACAGGATGGCAACGTTATTGAAAAGAGTTGCTATAGCGCGCATGAAGAATGGCGATTGTGCTCGAGATCACGTAAATGGGTTTTTTGATGTTGTGAGAAAATTGAAGGAAAAAATGTGACTATATGAGACAAACTCATCGCGATATTGTTGTTATATAGTTTGCCTGATTCCTTTGAGACTTTACGGTGTGCTCTGGAAACCATAGATGAATTACCAACACCAGAAGTTCTAAGAGTAAAGATATTGGAAGAGGACCAATCTCGTCGATCAAAATACGGATAGGTAATTCTGCTGAGGTAAAGTTGAATGATGTGGATATGTGGCATGAACGTTTTGGACACATAAATGAGCGTGATTTGAGGAATCTTCCTAATGACAAAATGGCGCATGGTATCAAGATACGTCCTCAGCAATATTTGTCAACATGTAAAGTCTGCTTGAGCGAGAAACAGACAAGGGAAAGTAGAAATGAAAAACGCACAACGAAACTGCTGGAGGTGGTTCCCAGTGATGTGTGTGGTCCGATGCGAGTTAATTCGCATTCAAATGCAAAAAAAAAATTGTCACATTTATCAAATGGAAAATTCGATTCTCGTTCAGAAGAATTTATACTAGTTGGGTATTCTGAAGAATCGAAGGCTTATCGAATGTGGTCTCTAAGTTGGGTATTCTGAAGAATCGAAGGCTTATCGAATGTGGTGTTTAAGTAAACGCCATGTAATAATCAGTCGGGACGTCATATTCATCAATGATTTCTATGGAGAAAATACAGAAAACTTAGTTGATATTAGTTTGACACACGAAGATCCGGGAGACATGCAAATTGAGGAAAATAGTGAAGAAATTGCTTAACAATCTGAAGGGTCAACAAATGATGATGTGTCATTTGAAACACCGATTAGAGACAGAAAGCGTATTGTTCGAACAGAAAACCCAGGCCGACCGCGAAAAGTACCGGCAAAATCTAAGCAAACGAATAAGAACATTGAAGATGAATATGCCAATACGGAAGAGGATGAGTTTTTTGAAGAATTTGAATACATCAATGCGGTCTTTACAGACGACCCTGTTTCATGTGAAGAAGCGATAAATTCCACAGATGGTAAAGACTGGAGTTTAGCAATAAAAGAAGAATTAATGCCCCAAATCTTAAATGGGACTTGGGAAATAACGGAAAGGCCTGAAAATAGAAATGTTATTGGAAATGGATTAGTTTTACGAACCAAAGCGGGCAACAAAAGGAAGGCTCGTCTAGTAGCGAAGGGATGCTCCCAACGTCCAGGGGAGGATTTTACTGACACCTATTCGCCAGTCGCCAGATCAGCAACAATTAGTCTAATAGCAGCTTTAGCAGTAGAAAAGAATCTTGAAATGTTTCAAATGGATTTTGTAACTGCCTATTTGAATGGAGATCTGAGCGAAAACGTATATATGGAAATGCTGGAATATTTAGGGGAATTGTTGCAAAAACTAATAAATATTTCTTTCAATGTCTTTAGTAGGCGTGGATTTTTTTAAAAATAATTCTTCAAGGGCTATAAGAGACGTGGATATTTAAACAATTCCTGTTGTCCTGAATTGCTTTCCGAACATCTTTTCCCTTAAAGTAGTCAACCATAATCGTATGTGTTAATTTCATAACGAAGCGCATAAAATCCCATTATCTCGAACTGCAACAACAACATCATCCCATTACAAATCACCATCGATACCGACCGACTCATTCTCAGCATCAACAACCACATCACTACCACAATTAACATGGTGATGACGATAGGTATTATCATTACGGGGCGTAATTATCATTACCAGCGTCGCGCCAGTCGCGTGTCTCCCTAATGCACTCCTCTTCCTTTTTTCAATGTTGATGTTTATTCCTGGGTGTCTGAGATGTTGTTGTTCGCTTGTCTGCTTGTCCATCCATCATAATGGGCATTATTTACATACCTGTCGGTTTGCGCTGTATTGATTCCATCCACGGCTTGTAGGGCTTTCAGTTTATGATCCTGTTTTTCGAAAGTCTACCAACACTACCTTTAATCCTGATTAGTTTTTAGTTTATTTGAAGAGCCCACTTCGTGTGTTTGTTTATTCGGCGTAGTTGATGATTTCCTTTCGTTTGCCCATTGTCGTTATGTTGGCGGAGGTCTTATTTGCCGATGCTGCAGTGGTGTGGTTGGTTATTGTTGGTGGTTGTAACGATGGCTTAGTTGGTTTGTTAATTGTGGCTTTATGGTAATTATGATCACAGCAGGTAATGGTAGGATTACCTATTGTACAGGATTTTTTTTCGGGATGTGGGAAAAAATGGGAAAAGTATGGGAAGAAATTAAATTATTTGAATTTAATAAAAATTAAATCCGCTGCGGAAGATAGACCTGAGTGGTCCTTTTAAAAGAAGTGTGGTCTCTATATATCCCCATGGGCCTTTTTAAAGTCCTGTGATCTCTCTATACAGCCCCAATGGGGGCTTTATAAAGGCCTGTGGTGTCAATTCAGCCCCATGGACCTTTATAAAGACCTGTGGTTTCTATACAGCCCCAATGGGGGCTTTATAAAGACCTGTGGTCTCTATACAGCCCCAATGGGGGCTTTATAAAGACCTGTGGTCTCTATACAGCCCCAATGGGGGCTTTATAAAGACCTGTGGTCTCTATACAGCCCCAATGGGGGCTTTATAAAGACCTGTGGTCTCTATACAGCCCCAATGGGGGCTTTATAAAGACCTGTGGTCTCTATACAGCCCCAATGGGGGCTTTATAAAGACCTGTGGTCTCTATACAGCCCCAATGGGGGCTTTATAAAGACCTGTGGTCTCTATACAGCCCCAATGGGGGCTTTATAAAGACCTGTGGTCTCTATACAGCCCCAATGGGGGCTTTATAAAGACCTGTGGTCTCTATACAGCCCCAATGGGGGCTTTATAAAGACCTGTGGTCTCTATACAGCCCCAATGGGGGCTTTATAAAGACCTGTGGTCTCTATACAGCCCCAATGGGGGCTTTATAAAGACCTTTGGTCTCTATACACCAGTCACAGCCCCAATAAAGGGGGCCCATGGACCTTTATAAAGACCTGTGGTCTCTATACAGCCCCAATGGGGGCTTTATAAAGACCTGTGGTCTCTATACAGCCCCAATGGGGGCTTTATAAAGACCTGTGGTCTCTATACAGCCCCAATGGGGGCTTTATAAAGACCTGTGGTCTCTATACAGCCCCAATGGGGGCTTTATAAAGACCCTATACAGCCCCAATGGGGGCTTTATAAAGACCTCTATACAGCCCCAATGGGGGCTTTATAAAGACCTGTGGTCTATATACAGCCCCAATGGGGGCTTTATAAAGACCTGTGGTCTCTATACAGCCCCAATGGGGGCTTTATAAAGACCTGTGGTCTCTATACAGCCCCAATGGGGGCTTTATAAAGACCTGTGGTCTCTATACAGCCCTTTATAAAGACCTGTGGGCTTTATACAGCCCCCTAAAGACCTGTGGTCTCTATACAGCCCCAATGGGGGCTTTATAAAGACCTGTGGTCTCTATACAGCCCCAATGGGGGCTTTATAAAGACCTGTGGTCTCTATACAGCCCCAATGGGGGCTTTATAAAGACCTGTGGTCTCTATACAGCCCCAATGGGGGCTTTATAAAGACCTGTGGTCTCTATACAGCCCCAATGGGGGCTTTATAAAGACCTGTGGTCTCTATACAGCCCCAATGGGGGCTTTATAAAGACCTGTGGTCTCTATACAGCCCCAATGGGGGCTTTATAAAGACCTGTGGTCTCTATACAGCCCCAATGGGGGCTTTATAAAGGCCTGTGGTCTCTATACAGCCCCAATGGGGGCTTTATAAAGACCTGTGGTATCTATACAGCCCCAATGGGTGCTTTATAAAGACCTGTGGCCTCAGTACAGCGCCAATGGGGGCTTTATAAAGACCTGTGGTCTCTATACAGATGGCCTTCTGTCTATAGAGTAGATCTGTAGAGCTTGAGGAGCTCTTCTGCCTTCTTCTCTCTACAGAAGAGGTAAAGGAGAATGAGTTCTTCCGCTTATTCTTCTATTTGAGGAGTGTGTATTGTTCTTTCCCAACATTTCCTACCCCCCACTTAACTTCAAAATTTATTTCTTATTTTCCACTGAACCTGCTAAGAAGTCCAGTGCGTTTCTTAAGAAATTAAAACAACAACAACAGTATTTAAATAATTTCATTGAACAACATGTGTTTTGCAAATAGAAAAGGCGATTAAAAAAATTATTACAGGCTTCTTAAGATATTCAAAAAAGTAAAGTACTTAAAGACCCTACGACTGCTACTTGGGAATGTGTATAGTTTCAGTGGAAACCCACATGTCAAACGACAATGTAAAATTTTGTAGAGGGGGAGGTTTTACAAAAAATAAAGAAAAACTACCTACTTGTTAGGGACTTCCTTCCACCTTCCACCTACCACCTCAACTCGAACAATGTCAACCATTTAAGCATCTGACAATGGCCGAACGTGAGCATTATGTGCGTATTTGACATACCATCATCATCGTTATCCGCAATGGAAAGCCAGAATGGTTTTTGGACAAGAAAATCCGCTTAAATGACACATTCATTCACAATTCACACACACAACAATCTTCCACTCGGCCAACAATCAACCATTGACACACAACAATCGAACAATTTCGAAGTGAAAGGTGTGCGTGTGACAAGTTCTCTCCATCAGTCTTCTGCCGGGCTTGCCTCACTTGTCACACAATGGCCAATTTGTTGTTGGGAAAATGCGATTAAATGGAAGTTAATTGTCAGAAATTATTAAAAAAGAATTTTAAATTGTATGGAGATTATGATTATGCATGAATAATAGGGTGCTGGAGAGGTGGAAGAATGGAGGATTTTGAAAATGTTTTCTAAATAAATCGATTGTGAACAAATAAACACTCTATTATATTTTAGATATTCTATAGATGCCTGAGAAAAAAGAAAAAAAAAAACAAACATAGATGTTCATACAATTATACACAAGTCTTTAGAAAGGTTCTCCATCCATAAAAGTCCTAAAGAAGAATTTTTGCCTGAAGACCGGTAGAATTGAATTTATAGAAGATTGGCAAATGGTCCATAAATATGTCTATAGAAAGAAGACAAACTTCAGACAAAGTACTATCATCGGTACTTCCATTAGGTATTCTTCAGCTACTTATAGACAAAATACCTTTGTTAGATCTGCGGGTCTGCTATAGACAGATTAACAGAAGAAATTATTCAGGTATTTAATAAAAAGTAGCACTTCTTAAGCTATTCTATACACAGAAGATCATTCGGGGTGTTTATAGGCAGAAGACCATTTTCAGTTATGTTATAGAAAGAATTCATTCAACGAGTCTTTTTTTACAGGTCTTCTATGGGCAGAAGAAATTATTCCGGCTTTCAATGTACAAAAGACTTTCGATAACTAACTTCTTCAGGTCTGTTATAGACGAAAGACCTTTGACGTGGCTTATAGAAACGGCGAAGAGGTCTAGGTCTCCAAAAGAAAAAGCTTTCCCCGATTAAATACATTTTCTCAAGAATCCCTTGACATAGACCTCAATTTCAACTTCTGCGACTAAAACGAGAATCACCACGGAATCCTAGTAAGGCATCCGAATATTATGATAGAGTTCTATAGAAATGAATAAGGTACCGCTATCTTAAACAATTTGGCAATGAAGCCATATTCGATTTGATACAAAATGTGCACATCATAATGTGTGTTTCTTTAAAAAAAAGAGTGAATAACTGTGGTTTTTATAAAAAAGTCAAGAATGGCATTATTTTAAAGAAACACTCTGTTTCAAGGATCCCACATCAGGACCCTATGAAAATCTCAGATTTGTTAAAAAGGTTCTTAGGAAAGTTCTTTAAATTTCCTAAGGTCATTGCGAGGGTTCCAAAGGAAGTAATGTGGGAGTCTGGATCTTATAAAAACTATAGCAGTATCAAAGGGGAAGTTTGATAATAAATGGCGCCCAACATATGAATATAAAAAAGGAAAATTTTCGATCCTTTTTAAAGAAAAAAAAAAATAGTTTCAAAAGAAACCCACATGTTGCTCCCATAAAAAATCTCAAATTTTCTAAAAATTTCTCAGGGCAACTGTAGGTCCACACCTCAAAATTTCCTAAGGTCATTGCGTGTCTTCCAAAGGGTGTAATGGAGTAATCTGATTCGTATAGAAAATATAGACTAGTGTCAAAAAGCGAAGTTTGATAAAAATGGCGCCCAACATACGAATAAGGGAAGTAGGTTGTTGGTGGTCTTTTAAAGAAAATCTCAGTTTCAAGCAACCCACGAAGACTTTAATGAATATGACCAGGGATTTTATGGGAGGATTGTATATTTTAAAAAAGACTATAGGTATATGAGTCGGGAACCAAGAAATTTTAAAAAAGGGAATCTTGGTGTTTTTTTTTCTAAAATCTTGAATATTTCTTGTAACCCTTATATTTTCAATGATCCAAAGGAAGCAGTGCGATTCGAAATTCGAAGATTTTCTTAGAAAAACAGCGATGCTTAAAAAGAAATCCATTAACATTTCTCCAGGGATTTGTGAATTTACCAAGGAAATCGGAGAGTTAATCGGAAAGACTTAAGAAATACTCGTTTTTAAGAAGCTGGGCACAGGTCCGTAGTGGTAGTGGTCGTGACCCGCTACACTCCTTCAATTACTCAGCCAAAAATAAGGTAGAACTTCGACTTTGTGCACATACTTGTTACTTTAAGGATCTTTGGTATTGAAAATGGGATAAACCCCAATATTCATTCAATATGGGTCCCCAACTCTTGGTATAGTCTACATATAACGGTAATCGAAATTTTGGGCATTTCAGGAATTTTTTAATCATCGCGCGTTGTTTTTGGTGCGTCCAAGGCCCAGCCTATCCTTAGTGTCTGTAGTTTGGTATTTCGTTATCTTGCTGAAATTTAGTATTTTGGATTCTTATTTGGGTAGAAAACCTCCTTATTATTAAACCAATGAGCGGAGCAGTATAGTTGGTCGACCATATGATAAACTACACAACTACCACTGAAAACTAACATTCTCTGACAGTTTTTTTGAATCATGATTTTCCGAGAGAACACACTTTTAACACAAAAGTCTTGTTTCATTTGACACGCTTAATATTGACAAACCAGACATTCCAATTATTTCGTCAGAGCACCTTCCCCGTAGAAAATTTGTAATGTGGCGTCTAGAAAACCAGACAAATATACATCCCCTAAATATCATCACTG